TGCCAATGTAGACAAGCAAGGCAGGACTCACTGGTGAGTGATTCATCTCAGCTAATGCCATAAAGAGTACCGTCCTTCCTTGCGCTGAGGTTAGGGAAGGTACAGCTCCCTGAGTTCAACCATTTCACAGCTTTAATTTCTGCCTGGGTGGAATAAAGCCCACAGTATTCAGAACCTATGCCTACTCTTTTATCTTAATTGACCAGTTTAAAGAAAAACGTTTTATTTTACTTTAAAATGCTTCTGTGACACCATCATATTACAGGCTTTGTCATTGCCAACCTAGGGAATGGATGGAATTCCCCAGGTTGTAGCTGCTTTAAATGAAGCCACTGGGGATGGAAAATAATTTATTGGACATTAGCACTCATTTCCCTTAGGATTGTGTTTTCTTACTTTGCCACAGTTCTCTTTATATTTTACTATAAGTATTTGCTTGTAGAGATTCCGTGCCCTAGGGGACAGTGGTGTCTGAGGACATACTATTCACTATGTAATCATATTTCTGGGACAAAAAAAATATGATTCTAATTCTCCCAGGGTGCAAGAGAGACCGACCATCTAATAGATGGTCTAGTATCTAATAGATTCACGGGAAATGAGTACAATGAGGTTATTTCTAGCTTCTGGGTTTAAAAAAGAAATTACTACACCGAAAATGTTATCTAAAATAATGATCAGTAACATAGACTGTCTTTTATTGACAATCTTGTGGAGGGGAAATGTTTTGAGTGTTTTAATTGTAAATATTGTGAACAAAAATAAGTTTTTGGTAAAAAATCCTAAATATAAGTACTAGAAAAAATAATGATGTTCTTAGTTCTTAGGGAACATATATAATTTAAAACATAGTTTAATGCATGAAATAAATCTTTGAAGATGTGTACCAAGATAGTAGAGTAGTAAAGTTGTCCACTATTGGGACATCCTATTCCCATGTCAAATGAATTACTTACTAGAACTTTACATGTACTTAACTCTACAAGACAGATGAAGAATCTTACTACCTAGCAATAACAGAGATTTGTAAAATGTAAACAAGGCCAGTATCTTAGTTAGGGTTTTACTGTTGTGAACAGACAACATGCTCAAGGCAGTTCTTACAAGGACAACCTTAAATTGGGACTGGCTTACAGGTTCAGTCCATTATAATCAAGGTGAGAGCTTGGCAGCATCCAGGCAGTCATGGTGCAGGAGGAGCTGAGAGTTCTACCTGTTCATCCGAAGGCCACTAGGAGAAAACTGGCTTCCAGGGAGCTAGTATGAGTGTCTTAAAGCCCACGCTTTATACCTCCTTAATAGTGTCGCTTCTTGGGCCAAGCATATTCAAACCATTATGGCCAGGATAACTTTACTTTTGAGTCAGTAAACAAAATAATAATCCTGAGGATTTTGAAAAATATCTTTATCCATATATCATTACCCTGTCATTTTTGTATATTAAATTCTTTATGAAAAATTGCCCTTTGAGACAGGTCGTGTATCAGAAAAAAAATCAGTATAAAGATATTGTAGCATTTCTTTGTTTTTTTTTTAATCCCATAGCATTTTATGATGCTATGTATGTTATCAAGATTTGTTTCCTAATGGCTTGGTGGTTTTAAAATATTACATTAGCATTCAAAATAAACAAAGTCTTTAGAAAATTCATAAAAGAATTTCCAAGGTGTTTTCTCTGTGGTCTTACAGAGCACAGACTACGTTATCATTAGGAAGGACTCAGAGAACATCCAGTATGTTGGGCTTTATAAGTCTTATTAGGAAAGACTCAATTCAGATTTGTTTTCTCGGCTTGATGTTGGTGTGGGAGGTTTTTTTGACTACTAAAACATTAAACTGGAATAAAAGTAATATCTGCCTAGCAAAGAAACATACAGGCATCTCTTTTAAAAAAGTAGAATAAAATGTCCCTTTATGCTCTATTTTTATTACCTGTGTATCTTTTCTGTGGAATTCTATGAGGGGATGTCTGAGTTGTAATGCAGCCAAGAAGGAAGGTAAGGTCTGGAGAGCACTGAGGCCTATTTGTTTTTTTTAAACCAGGCTTTTAAATTTTATGTTGGAAAAATATTTTCATACAATATATTTTGATCATGTTTTTTTCCCTCTCCAATGCCTCCTGGCCCCTCCTCACCTTCCCACTTCTCCTTCTCAAATATGAACAACAAACAAAACCCAAATAGAGAAACACAAAAGAACCCTACAAAAGCACACAAATAAAAGCCAAAACAAGCAAAAGATCAATACCGTCTTTCAGACTTGTTTTTTCCCCCCATACACATGTTTATTACCCAACACATGTCTTCTTTGTAGCAGCTAGTGCCTGCCACTTGGGTCATTGACTGAGCCCACTACACTCCTGTAACCTTCAGGCTTCCCTGTTACATCTCTGGTTAGCTTCTCCTGCTGTGTTTTGTTTGCTGGCAGTCACAAGAGCCTTTACCATGGTCATAGCTACTGTTGTTTCAGGAACCTCCATAACAATCTGGGTTTAGCAAAGTGGTTGCCATTTGTGATGTCACACTAAGATCATTGAGTTCTAGTCCCATCACAAAACTTCAGGTTTTGAGATAATGAAAAGGTAAAACCAAATCAGATTATTTTAGACTAAACTCTACCCACAGCTCAACAACCATTGGTTCCATCATGTTTTCATGTGGTATTTCCTGTCTTACCTCTTAGGAAGCTGCACAGACAAGTTTAGCTTAACTTACTGCAAAGGAAGCTTTTGACATTTTGCATGAATATTGTTTGCTTAGAATTCCACATTTGAGGAGTTTGGGAAAATGCCTGGGGAAGACACAGACAGATCTTTCCTTTCTCATTTTTTTTTTCTGAAAATACTACTGTCTATACTATTTTATCGTTTGAGGTTGATATGCCCAGGAACAATATAAAGAGTGAACGGACATGGGAAATTTGTGTAATTTGAATTGTTTTTGGTTCAGTGCTTTTTTCCTGTCTTCTTCAAGTCACATGGCATAACATTTCTTTAAGCACCTGAATAATACTCTATTGCATAAATGCACCACATTTTCTGTATCCATTCTTCTGTTGAATGAGAGAATAGCTCTTCCTCTTATAGACAAAAGTCAGTGCACTTTGAGATGTGTGTAGGAAAATTGAATTTCTGTTTCCTCCAGGCAACAATTTCAGTAAAAGCTGTAACTTTAATTTTTTTCAAATCCTATTTTTTTTGTTAGACAATTAAGCAAACTTTTATTGAAGCTTACATTGTGGTACAGAAATACATTTCAGCTGATTAAAAGTCCAACACCAACAAAGAGAAATTATGGCACCAAAACTTCCCCGCCTGTAATTACACTAGACCACTAGTCCACCTACAGTCTCTTCTCTAGGCTTCGTTCCACACAAACCTATGCAATTTTCAACATTAGAATTCTTAATTTTATAAGATGGCGGAAACAGACCTCAAGCCAAAATCTACTGGGTTACAAAATCCAGCTTAAATAAGCACTGGTCCTCCAAATAGCAATTCAAAATAGGTGCTGTGCTCATTACAGAATCAAGACTGATAAAGCTGACCGAAAGCTTCCCCAATGAAGCATTCAATCAACACCATGTATAAAGTAAAAATCAGACAGTGTTCCAACCACTTGATTTCAAACCAAGTAGATTCTACATTTAGAAACGCTAAAAAAGTGTTTCATTATAAATACAGAAGGAACAAAACATCACTGTGTCAGTCCAGAAACTACCAAGAAAACAGTAGGAGGGCAATAAATAGAGAACGTAGTCCAGTTTTCTCTTTTCTGTTTAAACCCCACAGCATTTGCAAATGCCCACATTTCTAGTGTCATTAAATAGATTCAGAATATTGTTCATCCATTCATACATTCACTATCTGGCCAAGTAGCCTGGAGAGCCCTCCCTCTGGTCAGCCATTCATTTGATCTTAACACCATGGTGAAAGGAAGACCAGAGAACAGCTGATATCAGAATCAACAGAAATCACGGACTCTCCTTTGAATCAAGATCTCTTAGATTGGTGGCAATGGCGGCACTTACTGAGGTCAGAATGTTTAGGATTAACTTTCTGCTTTGATTTAGTGGACATTCCCATCACTTCTTAGTAAGTTAGTGAAGGCATGGTAGGCACTCCATTAAAGCTAATTAAAGTGCACTACATGGCCTATCATTTCCATGGAGTTTTCTTTTTTAATGGGTTCTCCTTGCTCATCACTCCAGAGACTGAATTCTTTTCACTTGATACATTCAGTTTTGTCATTTATCTTCCACAAAAGTTCATGCCAATAAGGAGGCCACATTCTTATGTCTTAGGAAAAAAATTAAGCAAGGGACCATTTTCCAAACTCATCTGGGGTGTAAGATTATAATGAGCCCACAGTGTAACAGTGTATTGCTTCATCAGGGGTGGTAAAAAAACCATAGGACTGTAAATGCAGGAGCAACTATTAAAACAGTAGAACACAAAACAAGCAACTGGAATCATTTTCTTACAAAGACTCAATGTGTGGAAGAAAAACTTTAATTGCCATTGCATAAAACACCTGTATGAAGTAAAAATTGGTTCTGAATCACATTAGCAGAGAATATGTTCTAGAAAGTGGAGATAACTGGATGTAAAAACTCTGGCAGCAATTTAATAGAACAGTCGCAGATGGTCAGCTGAGGCCGCATCTAATGGGGACGAAAGCCTTGTCTGTGGGGGATTTTGGATGATGCCTGCAGAAATATTACGCTGTGCATAAACCAAATCGAGTCATTTTCACAAGTGTCGTAAAGATTCATACAGTCAAAGTTCTTTTCTACGTGCACTTCAGTTCCACAGCAAGAGTGGCATAGAACACCTAAACACAGAAGAGAGCATTCATGCAAGATATCTAACTCCTTGATATAATCATGCATACACTTCAAAATGATCACACTATCATTACACCTAGGGCTTTCTGCAACTACAAGGTGGTGGTCATGGTCAGCATGGTCCCCAGGATCAACATCTAGAAAGCAGCCACCACTTCCTGTGTGTCTTCTCTTTTTGCTGTTTTTCTTCTTCATTTTTCCAAATCAACTCTGCTGTTGTTGCTGTTTCTTAGCAAAACTGGTAAAAACAAGATTGTAATCATTGAACATAGCACTCTGGCAATCAAGACGTTTAAAGCCGTCAATTTTCTGGGGTGAAGAAAGCACTGTGCGACATTTAGAACTCTGATTAACAAACAAGGTGGTCACAAATTTTCCTGACTTGAAGACTTCCACAACTTTCCTGATCAGGTCGTCATAGGAGGTCTGACTTAGGTTTGTTTCAAAGCTAACATAAGAAAATTCTGGTTTTGGAGTGATGTGAATAGTCCAATAGGCTCCATCCGATTTCATTCCATTCATCCAGTAGCCACAAGGATTGAACAGTGTGGCATCAATGACAGAACCTGGTATCAGGTCACAAATTCCACTCTCACGCGTGACATCCTTTGCAGTAACACCGTCTTTCATGTAGAACTGGTCCATAACTGCTGGGTCAAGCTCACTCATCAGAATTTCCAGGGTTTGGTCTGGCTGATTGATTACTCGGCTCTCTGGGAAATCCAAAGTATACAAGTACCAACAGTCAGAATTCATCCGTCCCATACAGTATGCTGCTCCATTTGGGAAAATTGCATTAAGAAACTCGATTTCTTCCTGGAAATTCCGGTGTGGGTACCCTTGGTGAGAAGGCTTCATGAAATTCTTACCAGAATAAAAGAAGGTTTGGACTGAGTCAAACCCACTGTAATCCCGAGCAAGCTTCAACAGGGGGACCAGTGCTTTCAGTAAGAGGATAGTACCACATGTCTTCAAAATGAAACGTCTCTTGGAGACAAACATGCTACTCTCACTGAGTACATAAGCTTCCTGCTTGTCAGTCTTTGTCACACTTATGATTGAGCACTGCACATCCTTCAAAAGGACATCCCACTCAGGTCTTGGGATGGTACGAAGATCCCCAGATCCCTGGCTTGCATCGGACTGCTGCCTGGAAAACCAGACCTCCAACAGTTTCTCGGTCCCTTCGAAAAAATGTGCAGCTTCCATCACCGTGAGACTAGCGAACAACCACAGAAAATCAACTAAATTAAATCTCTTCTCCCGCCGCTCCTGCCGCCGCTGCGGATTGTTCCAGCTGTGTTACTAAAGTTCAGGTTCCTTTTTTTTTTTTGCTATAATTTTATATTAACTTTTTTTTTTTTTAAAAAGGACTAATAAAAATTTCCTGGCTATTTTCGTGAGTGAAAGTTGAACGTGAGTCTGTTGGAAATAGAGGCAGATACAGTTCAGTCTCTTGTAGTCCGCTGCTTTCGTGTTAGAGAGAGTTGAGCGAGCGCTAGCTAATGTCGCCGGCCATACTGTGTAAGCCTCAAATCCTATTTTTAATGATGGTTCTTAAACGCTTTAACCTACCTTGTAGCCCACCACCCACCAGAGCTAGTCCAAAAGAAAGGATATAGGGGTAGTGGATGTGTTTAGAAAGGTTCTTCGGAGCAACTCCCATCTGTGCTGTCTGGAAATGGACAGTTTAGTTCACAGGTTAGCAGGGGAGGCAACTGAATCCACTTGCAAACACTTTATGGATACACCAGTAGTCCAGTTTGGTAGAGTCAGGTTAGCAACAGCGGTGACATGCCCTACCAGAGACAGGCAGGCCTCAGCCTCAGCTTGAGTCAGCAGGAGGGACCAGCAGGAGCACCAGGAGAAGTTTTTGGCTTTGCCTCTCTCAGGGAAGTGAAGATCAGCGAACACATGAGACCCACAAGCACAGCACAGCTAGCTGTGCCAGCAAGCCAAGCTCTGTCTCCGTCATTCCTTGGAGTCTGATTTATACCATCCAAACATCACATGTCCTCCACGTGCCTTTTGTCTTTTGTCAACACATGTTTTGCCTCAGCATGTTCATCCAATCAATCTGCAGTGTCCCTCAAATGCACCTCAACAACACCATGTAAGTCAGAGGAACACATGTGTGTTAGCACAGAAGCCTTCATCAGCTGTCCTTTCATGTGTTTGCTTTAGCAGAACATCCTCTCTCCTGTGTCTGCTTCAACAAAATATTCCTTCACGAGCCTACCTTAGTCTTTCACCTTTGTCCAATTCAGAAAATCACTCCTTCATGAGTGTTTGCCCTAGCAAAACACCATACAACACAACTGACTCTCCAAAGAAACCTTAAGTTTCCACTTCAAAAGGCATATTAGAATATTAAATCATTTTGTACTTTATTTTCTTTATAGTTTGATGCTTCTTGTTTCCTGTAACTTTTTTGTTGATGCAATTATTGTTTTTTGTTTTATTTATAGGTCTGATCAGCTAGCACTTTATGGAATTAGTTTGGACAAAGATAAAAACTCCAGATACTTGTGTAAAATCCCAAAATATCCAGAGACAAAGTAAGTATACATAAGTTTGGGCAGAAACATTTTTTGGGACTGTAAAAAGAAAGCACAATTTAACACATTTACTGTAGAAGCATGAGGCTTTAAAAAATATAGGCTGGCTAGCAATATTAATTGAGTCACTGAGAAAATGTGTTCTGTGATATCGTGACCTTGTTCAGCCGCTGAATTCTTCCTGGAAGAGCCTCACAAGGTATTTGATTCTAATTTTTGTCTTCCATATGTAGGATGTAAAATACCTGGAGGTTTCACTTGGGTTAAACCTCAAAAATCATCCCAAAGATATTAAATACGAATGGTTCCTTAAATGAACTGCTAAAGAAATAGTTATCACTGTTCAGAGAAAACTGCACAATTTTATGAAATATTAAAAGAAATAATGCTTTTTTATCTAGAACTCTGCACACATACTACAAAGTGGAAGCATTTATAAATAATCCCCAAATAGAATTGAATATTCTCTGCTTCACTATGGGTTCTGTGCTGTCAGAAGATACCATTTCAGGAAGAAAATGTCCAAAAGAATTTGCATGTACAATAGAGCCACGCTTCTCAGAGTGCAATATACTCTTACTGGAAATATATGAGGAATGTTGGATTAATATGCCAGTTTCAGAAGGGAAGATCATTCAATTATTTTTGATTTTGCAGGAATTATAAAACTATAAATATGTGTTACTATAGGTGATAACATAGTAACCAGGTTGCCACTGAATAATGTATTTCATAGCATTTCTGTGTTGATATTGTTTTGTTTGTAAATATGTTGTTATAGTATTGTGGCAATGCTATAATTGTGATTTATAAAGAAAACAAATACTCCAAAAATCAATGACGAACAAAAGAACTGGTGAAAATCATGACCTAAATGTAGTTCATAATGACCTCTGCAGTGTGAATAAAGAACAGATCTCATTGTAAGCACTCTGGACATGAGTTTGTTAGGAGAATCATATGAAGGATCAATATTCAGATGCAGTGTCTTTTATACAAATGAACCAAAAAGGAAAAGTTTAAGAACTTAAATACTTAATAAAATGATACAAGCTTAGACATTAGATTGATTTTTAATTGACAAAACTGACCCATTTCTGTTTGTAAATTCAATTAACCAATATTTTAAGTTTCATTCTACACAAATGCACTGACATACTGTTTTTCAAGAATCATATATATATATATATGTAATTAATGTGATATTATATAATATATATATTTACAGTTGATAATAAAGTGACAAATGTTTCCCCCAAAGAGAAAGTAGAATGAATAAATTTTCAATTAGTAAGAAGAAAACATGTATGTAATCACATGTAGTTAGATACTTAATAACTCGGTTTCAAAAATAATTAGTGTTATACAAAGTATAATTTAGTTCTTGGCATACAAAGGAAAGACATTTATGGCCAGAGAGTAATCCTTTCATGTTTTATGAAAAGAGAATACTAAATTGTAATTTAGAACATTAAAGATTGGTATTGGGCTTAATAGTGAGGCTTAACTACATAATGAAGAGGGAAAACATTCCTCCCAAAACTAGAATACTAAACCATATTTGTACATTTGTTTTACCTCACTATTATTAGCACTTATTAGTTTTATAAAAGAATGGGTTTCATGATTTCATTTCATTTGTGTAGATAATATACTTTGACCATCTTCAATCCCTTTTTATCATACCCTGCCTTACCTACTGTTGCCCTTCCTCTAGCTCCAAGCCCTGCCTCTACTTTCGTGTATTACCTTTTCTTCTGTAATTATTATTGTTACACATATACACACATACGTATAAGTATATAAACACAATCTGCTGCATCAACTTAATATGTATTAAGGGGCGAACACAGGGTGTTGGATAGCTTATGAGCGGGTTTATACCTGGAACTCTCTCTCTCTCTCTCTCTCTCTCTCTCTCTCTCTCTCTCTCTCTCCCTTCCCTCCCTCCCTCCCCTCCCTCCCTCCCTCCCTCCCTCCCTCCCTCCCTCCCTCCCTCCCCCTTCCAGTTCTTAATTGCCTATAGTTCTTCATCTTGGGGTGGAATCTTGTGAGATTTTTCCCATCCACATTGGGAGGTCAGCTGGTGCTGTGATTGTTTTGGTCTTGTTCAGGCTACCATATTGCTGAATTTTTATGGGTGCAGCTTTCCTTCCATATATAGAAGACATTATCTGACATTAGATGGTCTTGATCCTTTGGCTTTTATAATCTTGCTGTCTCCTCTTCTGTTGCGTTTCCCGAGCCTTATATATAGGGGTTATATCATAGATAAAATAACTGGGGCTGGTCACCCCATTGTCACAATACAGTTGTCTGTATTGTGGAATCTACTGTGTTGTAATGGGCTTAATCTGTTGTAAAAAGAAGCATCTTTGATGAGAGGTGAGTGACACTCTTAACTATAGGTATAAGAATAATTATTTAAAATATATTATAAATTATTCTGCTAGCAATGATAAGGTCTTCTTTAGGAATCATTGTCCAACTAGTCATGAGTAAGTAGTTAAGTTTACAATACCTGCTACGCACTCCCTTCTACTGCATACAGTCATAAGTCCATTTAATTAACTATTGCTTATCACCAACATGTAAGTGCCACTATTTTGCCTTGGAGGATCATGGGGATTTTTGTGGTTTATAGGCATCACAATTGAGTAGGACTACTGATTTCTTTCCCCTGCTGGCAGTTTGCACAGTCCTATGAAAGCTAGTATTCAAAGAGGAAGCTTGCAAGTCAAATTTGAGCGTGATTCCTATGTGTGCTCTGTTGAAAGTGCATAGTGTGTTCAGTAATAGGGAGTTACAGCTTTGGGGAGGCAGTCAAGAATGGCATCAATAACATAGTGTTTTGGAAGCTTCTTGGACTCCCATGACAACCAATATGGAAAATTCCAATGAATGCTGTCGCAGTCACTATGATGTCATATGCATGTGAATCCTCTTGTTTTTGGAAGACTGTTTTCTTGGAGTCATCCATCACCTCTGGTTCTTACAATCTTTCTGCTTCTTCTTCTCCAGGGTTCTCTGAGGCTATACAGGAAGGATTTGATGAAAATATCCCATGTCAGTCTCCCAATGTCTCTCATTCTCTGAACACTATTCAGTTGTGGGTCTTTGTGTTTGTTCCCATTCAGTGCAGGAAGAAGCTTCTTTAAAGATCTATGGATAGTAGAATGCAATTAGGAGCCAATCATTCTATTGTTATGTTCCTTTGGCGGAGCAATAGTATTTGCTTTTCCCCACAGCCATAGTCTATGCGGTCTTAAATTATCAGCCATCTTAGCAGTGTCAGGTATGTATTATATCTCAAAATCTAATAATAGAGTTGTTGGTTACTCCCAAAACATTTGTGCTATCATTGAACCAGTAAATCTCATATTCAGGACAGTATTGTTGGTCACAGTGTTTATAGCAAGGTTGGTGAGTACCCTTGTCTTCTAAGTTTTTATTCTTAGGTGATAGGTTATATATACGTACATACATACATACATACACACACACACATATAGTACATATTGATAGAGAATATGTGTTCCAATTCATATATAAATTGCATGATAAGGTTCAATATCTGTTCAATATCAATATCTCTTTCTACACTTATGATATTCAAAATTATGTCTTCTAGCATCTTGAGGACTAGTCCAG